TTGTCCTCATAGTTTCCATGTCTTTTATTATCTGCCTCCTGAGGGAAATATATGTCTATCTCTTCTACCCCAAGCAACGGAATAAGTATCAGAGTAGACACTAGTTCTTTAGTCATGTTTGGTAGCCAGTCTATGAGAAGATCTCTTCCAAATTCAGAAAGGTGGAGGTGGTGATGTGAAACAATTACACAATATATCCCCAAAGGTTGTGGTAGTTGGTAGATAATAAAAAAAACGGAACTTGTGGAGAGCTATGATCGCTTATAACTTATTGGGACACATCATTTAAAAGAAAATTATGCATTGCCATGATTATTTTTAGGAATTATATAGGGTGGTTTTCTGATGTCTTTCAATTGTTTCGATTTCAGAATTGTCTTTCTCTTAGACTGGTAACCAGCCAATGCTATAGAATACAGTCTATCATGCTGTTTAAGCCATACTTAATGGAATAAGGAATGAAATCAACACAAATCTTTGATCTTAAATTTTAGATGTAGAATTATCATGATGAAGTGCTTTGTTATCCCGACCAGCAATGTTCATCTTGGATTTTATCCTCTGAATTCCAAAACGTTGCGAGTATAATCAAAATGAACGCATTGACCTGATTAGCAAAACATATAAAAATGAGGACAGCACCATTATTTGAAACTGACCCAAAGATTTCATTTTTGTCGCTATGATGACATTCCATCTCAAAATACTTCAGTAAAAACTCGAGTCTATTAATCGTAGAATAGCTATTTAAACAATCGTAGTAGAAGGGACCCATATCGTCGAAAAAATATTTGGAAGCCACTCTGCCTTTAAGGCATAGAAATATTTTCATCTTTGCATGGCGTCCTTCTCCATGTCCAATTCGTCTATAGCATTCACACTGTAGAAATCAGAGCGGAACGAAAAAAAATAAATTAATGAATATTTTTCTTCTTTTCTTTCTTAATTATTTCGATTGAAATACGAATAACAACTCATTTATTTATGATCCAGATCTCTGCCCAGCCATTTTCCCGTAACGCGTTCCTCGCTTACAATGAACCATCTTGGTAGAGTAGTCAGAAGACAAATACAAAAGAAATAATGACAGGGCAGAATAATTAATTAAAAAAAAAAGAATAAATAAACCATTTTATTATTTCTATTTTTGATATTATTTCTATTCGACCGATTCACATCGTTCATATTTTTATTTTTACTTTATTCAGTACCGAAATACATCGCACGGAGCAGCCTGATATGTTTCGTACTAATTGAAACCCCACTGATTGGTGAATATGCAAAAAAAAAAAAACACAAGATAAAAGAAAATATCTTTCTAAAGTCAATTAAAACTGAACCCTGCCTAGTGGCTGAACTAGCTGCGTACTTCCCAAGATAGGGTTATTATCTATATTACAATGATCCAATTTCTGTTTGTGGATGTATCTTATATGTAATATCTTTCTAAAGTTAATTATAACCAAAGCCTGCCTTGTGGCTAACATAGTTGCGTTCTTCACAGCAATGACTGATTTCACTAAATAGTAACTGTGTACATACCTTTTCTCCTATTAAAGCGGACTATTTTATTATAGGAATATGATAGGAATCACGTTGGATTAGTGACAAAAATTGCTCCGTTCTCAGATCACGTCACTTACCGCAGGCGTCAGAAATTGCCCTTTCCAGTGCAATTGGGGGGGGTCTGCTTAGGGGAGACGGAACCTTGCAACTCAATAGTGATTTTATTCAGACTTCCGGAATACCGGAAATGAAAAAGAAAACTTTATTCGAAAGAATTAAAAAGTTAATTCAAATGATAATATTAAAGGTATTCATCAGCACCCCACTCAAACAGAATCTGAGAAAAAAAATCAATTATTAGTAATAACATTTCCACCGCCACTCCCAACTGTAACGTAATTTTAATCTGCAATGTTATTGATCCTAACCCGGCATTTCTATTTCAATCCCTTCCCACTGTCGTAACCCTGTGAATTTTCTCTAAATATTTTCATGGCAATTGTTCTACTGAGCTTTCCTCTTTGGTACCTCGACCTTAAGAATTTAAGCAAAGTATAGAGAGCCGAGTTCGAATTCCAGTCGAATCCATTACATTCACTTACGTGCTAATACCCTTGGGAAAGGTATAAATCCTCTTTTTCTCAGCTATGGGTAAATAACAGGACAGCAGGCTCTATGGCCTTGGAAACTGGTCTACCGCAGAAAGAAATGACAACCTACTGCTGAAAAAAATCTGCCTCGTCAGTCATGTATCGAAAGATACATGATCGCCTAAGCGTGTATCACGCAAGGCACATAACTAGAGATATATTGACTGCCAGGTCTCACCAATTTACCGTTTAAATTGAATTAAAGCGTAAGTTCTAGTCTAATAGTTTCTTCTCTCGCCTGTATAACTCTCTCCCGGTTTCTTGTTTCATGTCAACTACGATCTTCAAAGATTTAAATACAATGTCAACTGTCATCTACTGTCTCCTTGAAACCTTTGCGACTAAGAACCACCATGTCACACGTATTAAACCGAAGCACCCGAATTCCTTTCGAATTTTTCTTCATGCGAACCACTTCTCTATGGAATCGACTCCTAACAGAATGCTTCCCCGATCACTACAATCTTAACCTCTTCATATCTATGGTAAAAAGCTATCTGTCTATACTTCTGAGATGAAGCATTATGTACACTATTTACATTGTTCGGACTGTCATCCTCATCTTTGTTGCGATATTTATATGGTAAAATAAAGGCAATTATAACAACAAAAATTGCAATATGAACACTGGTAAAAAATGTATACTGAAGACATTAAGCTTATAATTCCCAGAAATTCATGCACAAATATGCACTCAATGATACATGGCACAGTGGATAAAGGCGTTAGTTAGATCCAGTGGCAGGACACAAAGAGTGTAAGTTCAATACCAGGTTAACTGACATCTATTAGACGTGGATATGAACAGTCTACCCAGCGAGCGAAATAAAAGGTTCAGTTCGACATTCCAGCCACCTGAAGAAAGCTGGAGCGTACAGCGGCCGAAACGTTGTGATAAATATGGCAACAAAAATGAGTATGACAGTGCAAACAATGTAAATAGTAAAAAAGTTATCTTCTACACAATTTCACATAAACTGTACCTCTGTAAATCGTGTGGCCCTCAGACCCTGGACAGAAAGAACATCATTGTAAAAATCAAAGAAACTTCTTTTTTCCAGGTACATAAAGACAATATTTAGCCAGGCTTGCACTAGATCGATTAATGTCCAAGTAGTTTCAAGACGTTGTTACGAATGGTAGCGATGTGTGAAAGAAAATTGCTTACATTTCTCTGAGTCGATATTTCTACTTCGCTTACACACTTTATGCAATGATGCACGTCATATGGCTTGAAACGTTTTAATTTGAAACCTGAAAGTCTATAAGTCCATATCACACAATCATTTTTTTTTTTTTTTTTTTTTTTTAGATATATCAACATTAAAATGATAAGACCTCGTTGTCAATCTAGTACTACGCATAAATACATGCGACCGGGGGGGTATCAAGAGAGAAAGCTCATTAGAACAAACCAAACATAGTTCTTCTTGATGACTAAAAAGTAGTAGTTTCGTTTTAGAGTCGATAAAATTTAAGGCATTTCTTGATTGGAGGTCATTTTCGTGATTAACTGCTAGTTTTACTTTATCGGACACATCATCCAGAGAAGGACGATTATGATAATGCAGAGTTGCAAACTGTTGACATCGGGAAAGTCGATTATGATAATGACGAGTTACGAATTGATGACATCAGGAAGGGCGTTTAGGATAATGCTATTGCGAACTCATAACATTGGGAAGGTCGATTATGATAATGCCGAACTGCGAACTGATGTCATCGGGAAGGTCGATTATGATAATTCCGAATTGCGAACGGATTACATCGGGAATGTCGATTATGATAATGCCGAATTGTGAACTGATTATTATCGAGATGATCATTCATAAAAAAAACCTGGAGAATGTTTATCAATTTTATCTTCGTTTTAGTGTGGACTGGTACTCTTGTCGATATCAACATAGTTTTATGTTACTCAAACGCAGACTATCAAACCTTTAATCGCTATTCTTCTTGGTCTTTGTTTTAATTTACTAAATCAGGGAATTGATAATTTGCTTTCCTTATTGTTGTCGTTAAGATTTCTCAATTGTTATTCAAAGAGTTTTCTTCAGTTTTAATTTCAAATTCTATTTCTTTTGCTTTGTGACAATTCAAACGTATTTCGAGCCCAAATAGATCGGTATTTATTGGAGTCATATAACATTTATATAACAGATTTTAGATTACGTGAACCCCGATAGAGAAAGTTTTCTTACTCCTGTTCAGTTTTAAATATTACAGCTGTCAATGCAAGTCAAAAGGGAGTGGCTTATTAGCTTTCCTCTTCTTTAACACCGTTTCTCATCGAAACAGTTTAAAACGGTTTATATTATAGAAGCTGATTTTGATTTTAGCACTGAGATCAGTTTTTATAGCCAGTAATCACTATTACCCGAGTGAAGTAGTTTGTTGATGAAAATCATTTCGTTTATTGACTAAAGCTTATCCAGTTTAATTCTGGCAAGTCTTTGGCGAATTACATGAAGACTACATGAATTGGTTTATTGAATTCTACTTACTTTCCACGCAGTGTTCAAAAATCCGTTCTTTGATGCCATGACCAGGTTTTTAAGCAGTTTGAGATTGCAGGAAGAATGAATGCAATCCTCCATCCTCTGATTAATTGAGTAATTGATTCGCTTTCTACCTTTTTTGTGCAGGTTATTTAAAGCCAGAAAATATTTTTTAATTGTAAGAATTTTTTCTTTCTTTTTTTTTTAAGATAACAATGATTTAGTGACACAAGTCTTAATACCTGGGGAAAAAGAGTGAATATAACGAACCCACCTGGAATTGGAACCCGGCTCTCCGATTAACAATTCTGAGCCATTATCCATTACACCGCCATCACATCCAAGGTTACATTACCTGGTACCCCCAAGTGGCCACTCATCAAAGTACTGACCAGGCTCGACCTTTCTTAACTTCGGTGATCCTACGGGAACCGACATTTCAACGTGATATGGCCGTAAGCCCGTTTTGAATGGCAGCATATTACAAAGAATTATATCGCAGTTGTTAGAGGCTTTACACATGCGTGTGTCTCCATATGTTTAATTTACCTAAGCGGTTTTCAATTGTGCGTTCATTTGTCTAGTTTTCGAAAAAAAAAAATCGAATCTGTACAGAGACTTCAGATTTCTAAGGAGAATCGAGCCTTTGAGTAATGATCAGATCGAGTGACTTTTGGCTTTCATACAAGAAACGGGATAAACGAGGGCCAATATAATTAATGAGATAAGACGGCAGACATTTGATTTGGAAGTTTCAAGACGGAGGCATCAATAATTAATTTGTCAATCAGCCTTAAGACTACCTTGCAGACAAATAAAACTGTAATTGTGAAGAAATAAATCAATGTTAGAAAAGTTAAAAGACGTATTGTATAAATAATACTTAAACAAATCAACTACAAATCACTTATATTTGAACAAGTTTAAATATAAAAAAATGTATTCATGAATGCACACGCACACACACACACACACGCACATACACAGATGTTTATTTAAATGATTTAAATAAATATGTTTGCTTAAGCTGTTAAATATCTCAGTGACATCCACTCTTCAGGTGATTTGGTGTAAAGGATTTATTTTCCAAAAACATTGTTTCCTTAAATTAAGTTGTTGTCCAATGTTCAAATTGCCTCTTGTATCTTAACATGAGAGGAGGCACGGTGGGGTAATGGATAGCGGCTCGGAATGAGGAATCGGTAGAGCCGAGTTCGAATACCAGTCGAATCCATTACATTCACTTACGTGCTAATACTCTTGGGAAAGTTATGAATCCACTTCTTCTCCCCCCCCTCCCCTAGCTATGGGGAAACAGCAGAACAGACCGAGTTCTATAGCCTTGGAAACTGGTCTACAGAAAGAAATGTTAACCTACTGCGGGAAAAAATTGCCTCGTCAGTCATATATCGAAAGATACATGATTGCCTAACCGTGTATCACGCATGGCATGTAACTGACTGACTGATATTGACATGCAACAACCTTAATCAGTAAGCCTCTTCAGTGGCTCATGGGCTTTGTACTGAGTTGTACTATTTTATTTATTATTATTAATATATGTGCGCGTGTGTGTACAGAGTATGCGATGGATAAATTGTCGTCTAAGTTACACAAAAACGAAAATAATGCTGACATCTCATGTTAGCAGATATATTTACAAAATTACACAAAAATATCTTTAAATACTAAAGAGCACATTTATTCAATAAAATAGCAATTGGGTTCAACAAAGGCCTCCAGACGACTTTGGAATCTCCTGCAAGTCTTCTGAATGGTCTCCTTCTTTAAGTTGGTGAATGCCGCCATAAAACTTGCCTTCGGTTCGTCTTTGGTGTTACAAGGAATTTTTTTAATCTCTCGTTCAACTGTGCCCCAGACATAATAATCAAGGGGGTTGCAGTCTGAGGAGTTAGGTGGCCAGATGTAATTGGTCAGGTGGCCTGACAGCCATGATTGTGTTCTCCTGCTTGTGTGGCATCGTGCAGGGTCCATAGGATCCACCCAGCAGCCGCCCTTTTAACTCAAGACAGCACTAGCTCCTCAAGACAATTGCTGTAGGTCTCCGTATTGAGTGTGATACCCTCACCATCAAAATCGGTAGATTTTTCTTATCAAAATTATCCGAGTTGGCTTTCCAAGCTACCTTGCCTTCGTAATCACCATTGGATTCATCCAACTCTTTCCGAATCCTCTGAACTGTCATCAGATTGACACCCAACACTCTCAAATGTTCGTATTCGAGCTTTCGGCGCGAATGCCAAGCAGTACAACAGGCCATTTTCAAATTTCTGGCGGAGTAAATTACATCATCGTACTCTTTTTCCCACAGACGATGCCCAACTGACCACACTATACTGTGTAGTCGACAAAATCAAAAACAAACAAGGCGCATGCGCAAACTTCAAAATATAAAATTGCGAAAATTTACCAATCGCAGCCTGTGTATAGGGTACCTATATACGATAATTAGTTCGACAAGGCACTGGCGTAATCAGGAAAATAATTTTATTTCAGAAAATCAAAACCTATTTCCTTATTTGTATGTATTTTATATATATATATATATATATATATATATATATATATATATATATGTGTGTGTGTGTGTGTGTGTGTGTGTGTGTGTGTGTGTGTCTATGTGTGTGTATACGATTATTCGTGTGTATATGTGTAACGGTTCTTGTTAAGTTTGACAAAGGGTGAAATTGGATATTTCAGTTATACCGAGTCATGAGGAAAGTGGTTTATCGTAGTGTTCGCTTAATCATTCTAATATCCGTTCTATAACGTGGCATGCCAGTGATGAGACAGGAGATCTAGTGGTGAAATATCAGGAAGAACTGGCTTAATGCTTTTCTCCAAGGATGTTAATGCTGGGCGAACGCAATTCGCCTTGGCCGAAAGTCTTTTTCCCCAGCTGATAACCGCAACACCACCTCGCACTTTCAGGTTTGCTCGAAAGCCGTTGTTGTTGTGTTTAACGATGCATAACAACGAATTAATAAATGCAGGAAATCTATGACTTGTAATGTTTCTTTTTCTGTGACAATTTCGTAAACTGTTACATCTTCTTTCTTTCTTTTTTTTTAAATCATGTCGCCCCCAAGCAAGGCAGTAATATCACTAGTACCTAGGGGTTTACAAGGAATGAAAGTGGAAGAGAAAAAGAAAACTGAGAATAAGGCGGATTAATGAAAGACATAAAATGAACAGCGTCAAGAAAATAGTAGTTGGCGATTGACGTTATATTTCAAATTTTGAAGATTATTGTTGTTAGGGGAACAAGAAAATGAAAGGTGTTGCACAAGTTTGAAAAAAAACTATTGGAGTTGAAGCGTCGGTTTCATTTATCTATATATAGTAAAACAGTAAAACGTGAGTGGGGGTTAGATGCCAATCTAGTAGAACGTTTAAATTCATGTAATCAATGACTGAAGTCTCCTTTGAAGACCTGGAAGCCTAAACTATGTATGCTATACATATATATTTAAATATATATGTATGTTATCCATATATATATATATATATATATATATATATATATATATATATATATATATATATATATATATATAAATATATATATTATAAATTAATTGATTTAAAATATGGTTTTTTCCGATACAGTTCTAACCATGTTTCAAAAATAGAAGCTAAAAGCCCCGAATTTAATTTTGCAATGAAATTAAAAACATTAGTTCCATTTCATCCTCAAGCGAATTTTGGAACTAATGCTTTTAAATTAATTGCAAAATTAAACATATTTTATATAAACTATATTTTATAATATTATGCTCTGTAAATTTATATTGAGCACTATTTTGTAAAAATAAAAATATCTATAAGAACACTGGGTTATATATCTTACTGTTCTTTATATATATATATATATATATATATATATATATATATATACATACATACATATATATATATATATATATATGGAGGTACGTTCTAGTAGTGGATAGCTGCTCGGAATGAGGAGAGCCGAGTTCGAATTCCAGTCGAATCCATTGTATTCACTTACATACTAATACCCTTCGGAAAGGTATTAATCCTCTTCTCTCTCCAGCTATGGTTAACTAACAGGACAGACTGGGTTCTATAGCCTTGGATGGCAATTGGTCTAGGAGAAGGACAACTCTGAATTCAAAACCTGCAGTGGGTTGTTTTGAGACCTTGTGCCACGGAGTGCACCATGTCTCTGTATTCGGCCTTTCAAAAAGTGTGGTTGGTTCTGCACAAAGCCTTCACCGATATAATCAAATCACATGTGCTGATGTCTATCTGTCGGTTCCTAGGAACTGAGCATGCTTGACCCTCATAGGACGGAGAGATCACCATATATATATATATATATATATATATATATATATATATATATATATAGAGAGAGCGAGAGATTTACACTTTACGAAAATTTTAATATTGCACATGTATATTTTACTACTAAAAAGACGCTCCGTTTATTTATTAAACGGTATATTTATTTATTTTAGTCTACCGGCTTGAATACCGTCCTGAGTATGACGATAAACTACATCTGCGTCCTGGGTATGATGATGAATCACATCCGCATCCTGAGTAAGACCGTAAAGTAAATCCGACAGCAAGGCCTTTGATCAGAAGGCTTTGGGGAGCGTGGAATCTCCTCTTAATTGCTGGTGTTCCCAGGTCCACCCTGACCAGTGGTGGTAGTACCTGTTAGGGTCCAAGCTATGGGCAAATAGGTCAAAGCACTATGAAAGTATAAAAATGGGTTTTAATACCAGCAATACATTTTTGAAAAAGAATAAATATTACCAACAATTCATTTTGAAAAAAAAAATATTACCAACAAAACATTTTTTTTTAAATATTACAGTGATAAAAATTTTGTCCCACTGAGGTTGATATGCCGTAAAACAAAACAAACCAAAGCCTGAATATTCGAAAAATCTTATTAAAGAAAAATATACGCTCCCCGGCAGGATTCGAACCTGCGACCCCTTTGGAAGGAGAAGTCGTCTGTAGATCCGACGTGCTTGGTCACGATGTACATCGACAAACAGGCGAAGTTGAATAGTGCCTTATAAACGTAAATCTTTCTCAGACTCTCAGGCTACCGTGACATTCACATTTGGTCAGTTTCATATCCTATCCTAAACAAAAAAAATTCTAAATAAACGCCGGATTTTTACATTTTTTAAATTTAAAGAAGACATTTAAATTCAAAACCTTCTATTATTTAAAATATACAATGCACAAATTAATCTTAAAGTAAAATAACATAAATAATAATTGCATTATGAAAAATATTCAACAATTCCTCATTTTCGTTTATTAGACGTTAAGTTGCATCCGCACTTTGGGTCCGCCATAATTTACCTAGACATTTCAAAAAGCATGAGTGCATTTTATACAAATACTTTATGCGTAGTTTGTAAAAGATATTGTTCGTTTTTTCTTGTGTG